TTGCTACAGCCGTTGTTTTATGGAGTCAGTGAATTAGAGAAATAAGTTGCAGGAATCATAAAGACCATTACCTGACTTTCTGTGGTATATCCAGAGGATGGTATATTAACCTATGTGAGTTGAATATTTGAATGCTTTTCTCTTATTATAAAGTAATATTAAAGGGAAATTTAAAGTAAGCTGTAAATATGCATTCAAGACATTAAAAGAAATTTCCCTGTGAATTAATGAATGTGGGAAGTGCCCTGTGGTGAGACAGTGCTGGATTTGCTTTGAAGTCAAAATACAGATTTCTAGTTGATGATTTTCAAGTTGATAAGAACATTCGTCTGATAGCAGCAGCAATTATTTTTCTGTAAAGGCTGTTGCAAGTTGCAATATCACTATACTCTGTTCCTAGTTTTGTCACTGTCTTCATGACTTCTATTCCCCTCTAAGACTGAGTCCCATGCTTTTGCAAGTCACTTCATTAATCCGCACAGGTTCCATGTCTTTTCAAATTAAACCACAAATACAGCCTTAAATTAGTAGTGAAAATCTGAAATATATCTGCATATCTACAGGAGAAAAAAAAAAAAAGATAATGCATGCTGGAAGTTCATGCTGCTAATTCTTATGCTTTTACAAAGGTGTGGATGAGAAGATAGAAAGCATCAGTGAATGAGGGAATGAATTGAGATGATGTTTCAACCTAGATGGGTGGTTATTATCCTTAATTTCCTGGCCTTTTGCAGGCTTGTCAGTAATGTTTTGTGAGGTTGGTTGCTTTTAAATATGTATCACAGCTGACACAAGAGGCAGCAAAATCTCAGCAGTGTATTATTTACTCAAGAGTGTATGCCAGAAAGTGTAATGGAAATATACCATTACATATACATTAAACTACAGTTTGTTTTGATGCTTCTATAGTTCTCTTGTAAATAATACTTATCAGTTGAACAAGGAATGAGATTCAGTGGTGCTTAGAGAGCTTCACAAGATTTCATCAGCACCTGGTGCCTGTGTGCATAGTTCTGGAGTTTTTAATTGAGATTTTGCCCTCCACAATACAGGTGATATTACATTACTACTAATTGGGCAAAAAGAAATAGAAATTATCCCAGATATATCCAGAGGTGGTCTTTAGTGTGCTTTTGTGTGATTACTTTTCTGTGCTGCTTTGCAATAGGGCTGAATTGTCCTTTAGAAGAAAAGAACTATTGCTATTGAGCTGGAAACATCAGTACTGATAAGTGGCACTCAGAGGATGCCAAACTGAAGTCATGTCAAAAGTCAGATGTGTCTGTTTAGTGGCCTAAATACACAGGAGAGAGYTAGCAGAGTCCAGTTCAGAAAACTATGCACCACCATCACAGTTAATGGAGGTGCTACAGCCTGATTACACAGCAGGACATGTCTGGAAACTCAATGGATAAATGTTTAAAGGTATTAAAGGTTCATAAGGATATGTAGGGGCACCCAAGGATATTTTCAGAAGCGACTCTTCTTACTTGGACTGCAGTAAAATCGATGGGGATCAGGCACTCAAGCACCTCTTACTGCCTCTCTGAGGAAACTACAAGGTGCCTGTGTTTATCAGAAGGTCCCCCCGTGCCTTTTGAAAACCTGGTTGTCAGCTGAAGTCTCCTCTCAGGGAGTGCTCAGTGACTGAACGTAGCAGAGGTTATGAAGAACGGTTAAGATCCACCTGCTGCAGTGTTTGGCTCCCTGTGTGGCTCTATTTGTGTGCCAGCTGCCACAGCTCACACGGGGACATGAAATCAGAAAGGAAGGATGTAGCACACAGACCTCCCCAAAGCCACCAAAACAAAGAACACAGGAATTAGGGCATTCACTCAGATTCCCATTCCCTTGAGCAGATGAAGAAGAAAGGATGACATTTTTGGTACCTTGTTCCTTAGATCACAATAGCGAAAAGTACAACCTGGCTCCAGGGCTGAGTGAAGAAGGAAAACAAACTAAGTCCTGCCACTAGTTTTAAAGGAGAGAGTCTTGCAGTGTGCTCCAGGATTATTATATTAGCGGTAGCTGGGGAAATTCGCATAAATTTGTAGAAATGTTTCAGAAAGATTCTGAGTGAAGAGGTAAACTTCCTGTAAAGGTAATCAAGGATAGGAAGAAATAAGAGATCATTCTTTCACCAAAAATCATTCTCTGCAAAATCTTCTTGCAATTATTACACTGCAGAATAATCTAGCAATATTTTGTCTTCCAGTATGTGCCAATCATTGGTGCATTGGAGCTAGAACGTGACCTTGAAGGATGAGGCTTACAAAGCCACCGCCAGCTTTATCAGGAATGAGAGTTTAAATGCAAAGCTAGGGAACATTCAGATGCATAGTAGCAATCAGGCAGCACTGCGAGAATTCATCAAGGAACACTTTGAACTCATTGCATGAAACTGCAAAGGAGAATACTTGTGTGCAAGTAAATGCCCAGGTGCTAACAGAGGAGCTGAATTCAGTGCAATGGAAGATTGATAAATCCTGTAGAGCAAAGCTGCATGGTGACATATGGGGTGACAGGATGAGACTGGCAAATGCACCATTGTGTCAAAGCTAAAGAAAAACTGTAGCACAAGAAAGAAGCAGGCACTGGCTTAGAATTCGGATGTGCATGATATTAGGCTGTACAAAGTGGCAAAAAATAATGGTTTGTAGGGTCCAGACTAGCACCAGATGTACCAATAGTACAGTAACACAGCAAACAAGAAACTGAATGTCCAAGTGTTACAAAATGTCCAGGGCTATGAAGATTTCTTCAGGTTTATTCAAGGGAAGAAGGCCACACGGCCATCAAACAATGCTAAATGACAACTACGTGATGTCCTAATCACTACCACAGTATGTTAGCCCAAGAGTAGTAAACATCTAAAAAGGATTTGGGCTCACACTTCCAGAACTGGAGAAGACCCAGAAGCCAGCAGCGTCAGTGCAGACTGGTGAGTGGCTGGATGTGCTGCAGCTACGCTGCTCTCGGGGCTGGAGTTGGTCTCTACAGAGCTCAATGCTGCTCTGTAGCAATGGGCTGGCTTAGCGTGGTTGCCTGCAGCATGTAGTCATGGAGGGATAGATGCCAAACTCTGCATTTACCAAGGTGTGTGGAGAGTGGAAGGAATCACAGTGTGTGTGTTACATTATTGTGATTTTCTCTGTTTATGTGGTTGCATCCTGCACTTGTTTGCCCAGCCCTGTTTTTATTTTTCTCTTGTGAGGTAAGAACTAAGTGTTCTGTTTTACTGGAAAAGAGTGGAGACTGCCCTGTTTTCTGTTTTCTTGGAGGTGGTTTCTCCAGTGCAGAGAAGACGTGCACTGGTGGCACATCATGAGGAAGCCTGAACCACTGATTTTTCATTTCTCTCCTGGGTAGGGCATTTGCCATGACTCTCTGCCCAGCATCTCCAACAGCCCCTACTCAAAATAGCAAGTTCAAAATAACAAACGAGGGATCATTCTCCATCTATCCCTACACTATCTTTTTTTTTTTTTCCTGTAGATTGATATTATGTCAGTAACATAACAGGCGGGATTAATAGAGTTTTAGTCACAGAACTGGAAAGCACGCTTACTTTTGCACATTGGACTAAGAACTGCCTGGAACCTTCTTTATTTGAGCAAGCAGCCAGCAAGTGAGGAGAAATAATGAGAAAAAGGAGATGGACTTGTCACTACAACTTTGCAACTGAGAGCAGTTGCTGGTGAGAGAGGAGACAGCTTGCCTCTTGTCGCCAAAAGCCATGGAATCACAAAGCACTGTCTTCATGTCTTGCTRCAGAGCTTCATAATGATGATGTGTTAATATATAGCAAAGCAATATAGATTAGCAACACGTTATTGAGACATGGCACTGTAATAATTATGTGGGCTTCTTTGGAAAGAGGTGACATTGAAGTCTGYTAATTAAATAGCAGCGTGTGCTTTGGTTTAATTCGGAGTAATTTTAAAGTGAAAAAAAAAAATCCCTATGTCTCTGCTCCCAAAATACATCAATATTTGCAGTTGATTAGGTGGTATTTGAAGACAGAAAAACTATATTGAAGGTCTGTGAATCTACCCAGAATCTTTGTTGAATGTTCAAATCTACAGTTTCTACATATACTCCAGATCTTATTTTATGTAACATTTGGCTGGAAATGCTAACAACTTTTGCTCAAGTGAACCATTACAAGTCCCATTTGCCCAGCTCTGCCTTGCCTTTGCAGCAAAGATTTGTTGCTGCTGCCCTCATCATTGCTCCAGGAAAGGTTTACAGTCAGGATTCATTTCTAAAATAGACAAATTGGGACTTGGTTGTGACAACTCACAAGAGTTTGCCCTACATACTTTTGCTCAGCATTAAGCTTTGCAAAACAGAAGGATTACATTTTGAAATGTCTTTCAACAGATATCTGGAAAATATATTTGCTCAGCTTTTCATACTAGGGCAAGTGAAGTGGAGTGGACTCCTACTGTGCCCATTCAGAAGTACTCCTGTTCTGGGCTGTGTAATCATTTACCTCTTTTTCTTAAAGAGAAGACTATTCCTGATGATAAAATGGTATACTGAGATCACATTTTGGAAACTGAAGAGTATGTTCTTTTCCATAGGTCGGTAAGTCATTAATGAAATAAGTAAGAATTAAAAAAAAACTAGCTGCTGAGGTTACTTTATCAGAGAAGGTACCATTGCAGACATATACACACTGCACTCATTTTACAAAGCAGTCAGTTGGGTTTGCTTTCTAAAGGTTTTAAGATGCATGCAAGGTACAGGATACAGACGAATTTCTCTGACATATACATGGAAAGGTTGTTAATAAGATATTATCCCTTGGGTCAAAAATGTATTGTTGGAATGATGACAGCTGAAAGATATCCTTTCTATGCAGAATCATGAGGGTAAAAAGGTTGTGATTTGACACACAGTGTGATTTCTTCCCCTATGCCTTCTCCCCAACTCGTTTTAGGAAGCAGTGGGGCTTCATGTTAATGTATGTCTGTTCTTGTTTGTGTTTTTTTCAGGATTCCTCTTCGATTGGAACAGCCACGGTGGCTGGTCCCAGGACAAGTGCAATAATTGGAGATCAGGGAACACCACCGAAGGTCCAGCTCCCCCTCAATATGTAAGCAGCCATCTCATATCAGCCCCTGGCTACTGTTTGTTTCAGATCTTGTGTTCATGCACGTTTGCACTTTGAATCTGAAAACCTTGCTCTCAGATGAGCAGCATTCAGAGCAATCAGTTACTGCAGTTTCATACATTGCCCAGCCTCTGCAGAAGTTGGAAAATAAACAGGGAAAGGCGAGAGCCCTCTTGTTCTATCTAAGCTTCTCTTTGCTCCTAGTATATTTATTATAGCTGTATGAATCACTGTGAAGCATATGGAATGTCTCTGAGATAGAAAAAAAAATCTTATTCCTTCAATTAAAATCTTATAAAGGTGCAGCCCCCTGCAACCACACATCTGATGCATTCATCATTATCCATAAAAAAAAGACCGAGTTATATTTTTTCACCACCATAAACAAAGATATCAAATGAACTTTGATGAGCTTTTCTAAATAATAGTATTTCAAAAAATTAGTTGCTAAATCAGGATATCTTCCAGCTCAAGGAAAATAGAACATGCTTCTGCCTCCGTCCCTCAGCAAGCCATCCCCTTCCCTTGCCCATACATCTCCCATAGTGTCCCCTGAGAAGCAGCCTCATATGGTCTGTCATTTTATATTTACAAGCCAAGTTCCAGTCAAAAAGGAAGTGTTATCTCAAAGCTGCAACAGAACCAGAGAGGAACGGCCTTAAACAGAGCCCTGGGAATTCTGTGTTATAATTAGAGTCACAGACAGTTCCCTTAGGCCAAGAACATGAGTTACCTTCTAAGTCAGAAATTCTTTTTTAGGGAGCTTTTTTATAGAGATTTTGGCTTCATTGAGGTCTTACTTCTCAACCGTTAGTCTGACTGTTTCACGTAGCCCAGAATAACTTGTTACTCCATTTTGTGAGATTGCAATTGTTGTTTTACCACTTTAATCTCAGCTGCACAAAGTTTGCAAGTGAAGTTTTACATCTTAAATCTAGAGAACAGTGAAATGCAGCCAAGTCCAAAGGCTTTGGCTTAAAGTGAAGCCAGTCCCAGCAAGCCAAGCTGCTAGCCATGATTCTCTGCCAAAGGCAGAGCCCAGAAACAATTACTGGTGAGTGAAACTATCTGTAGTCAAATTGTTTTCAGCTGTGTCTGACAGCAGGTGTGCGACCCATCTCTCTCCACGGTCCCCTACCCACCAACACATTTAGTGGCCTGATGGGGTCATATSCAATGAACATGATGAAACCCCCACAGAATCAATGTGCTGGTTGTCCCAATCTGTTGTCCCTAATGGATGGGGTTTTCACTGCTCATGTAAGTGAGATCCAGGGTCAGGCATTCCCATTTTCTAAGTSCTGAGATACTCCTGGTGGTATTTTTGCCTGGGAGATTAAAAGAAAAAGGAAGAGAAGATTTTTGCCTTAGTAAATCAGGTCTTACAGGCGCAAGGAGAGCAGATTCCCAGAAAAACAGCATTGCTGTTCTGTGACAGTGGCATAGATTTGAATGCAGGATATTCCCATGCAGGACAGGATATTCCCATGCAACAGCATGCTTTGGGGTGAGGTTACCCAGCCTTCACTCAGCTCTGAGGGCTGATTGCAGAGTTGTCTAAGTAGCTCTGGACTGAATCAGACCAGGTCTAGCAGAACCATCACCGAGATAGTAAAATTTTCCTAAACCCTTGTTGGCTCCATGTTGATCCCACAGGCATCCTTGAAGTGTGTTCAGAGAGCATGCAGCAAGATGATCAGCACAGGCTGAGACTGCAGGATTATTAGCTTAGAACATGGAAGCAGTTACAGTCCCCAGGTGTGATGGAGAACCAGCAGCAATGGCTGGAGGCCTCAACTTGTGCCAAGGGAGGTTTAGGTTAGACATGAGGAAGAATTTCTACATTGAAAGGGTAGTTAAGGCTTGAAACACACTGTGCAGGGAAGTGGTGGAGTCACCATCCCTGGTGGTCTTCAGGAAACATGTAGATGAGGTGCTTAGGGACGTGGTTTAGCAGGCATAGTAGTGAAGGACTTACGGACTTGATGATCTGGAAGGTCTTTTTCATACCGGAATGATTTTATGATTCTAATGTAGCCATGCTGGTGTGACATTGCCTTGCCACACCAACGTTACAGGCCATCAAACCTACGTTGGGTCAGTGTCTGGGTTTGCAGAAGCCCTGTCTCTTTGCTGACTACAGTGGAAACCTCAGGGACAGGTGTCCTGCCTTCCCCACACAGGTAGTGTGATCACATAGCAGCGTGATTACCAGCCCATTCAGATAGCACCGAGCACATCGGTTGCCCCAGAGTCATGCCACGCAGTTACCATATACAGTTAGGAGTTTGACAATAACAGGATTATTCAGTTTTAACATGGGCTGGACTATTGTACATCTTCCTTTAATCTTTACAGGGATCTTGGTACTCTCTCTTGAGTATGTTTAAGCTCATTTTGATTACTGGTTCATTCTGACTTCCTGAAATTTAAGCTGGAGGAATTTTCACAGAGAAAAAGAGAGAAACTAGTAGGAGAGCTGGAGACAGCTACAAGGGAAAGTAACCTGCAGTCCTCTGATATTASTTAGTTAGACCAGTTTTCCTTACACCTTCTTCCAACATGTCAACCTGTAAATTACATCATTACCTATAGACCTTTGGGAAAAAACAAAAACAACAACAACAACAGAAAAAAAAAACTGTTTATCTCCCTAAAGAGATAAAAAAGCTTTATCTTCCTTATMTCCCATATTCCTTCTGAACATGACACCTGGATAAGGAGCAACTTAAAAATGGGTGGTGAAAGCCGTATTTTTTCTCTCTGAAGTGAGTGCAGTCCTGCCACTTTCCCCTGTGTGGAGAGGAGCGTGTAGAAGATTTAGCACTGGAGCATGGAAGCTTGCTTGGAGTCATGGAGATGCATTTCCACGTTCTGCAGTCTATACATAGCCTCATGTTTTCCATCACGTGACCCATGGCAGACCTGATCAAGGCCACCTGATTATACAGACTAAACAAAGGATGTGCAGGATGGTTTCTCCCATCTGTTGACTAATGAAATATAGTTTCTGATTAGATCTTTGTACCCTATGCACATGGCAAATAGAGCCAAGCACATCAACTTAAGGATGCCCCAAGGAGCTATTACCAAATATTTCATATTCTTCTCATTACTGCTRTTTATTTACTGCCTTCAGAATGAAAATAAAGAAATCTACTGGTACCATAAAGAAGTAGAATCAGTAAAACTAACAGGATTTATTTCTCAATTATATTTCCTAGAGAGCAGAAGTAAAAAGCCATGCATCACTTTTACTGGCTGAAGTCAACAGTCACAATGGTTATAGTTTTCATTATTTCTCTGGTTCACTGCTATGGTGGGCAGCAAGTATCTTTTTACCCATCCCCTACTCTAAAAGCATTTGTAGTGCACTTAGTAGTGTTAATGCAATCTTTGTAAGTGTTTTCCCATTCATCTTAATCTCTCTACACTGTCTCTAAGAAACAAATAAAATGGGGGTGAAAAAAAAAAGCCACTCAAGGASGCATAACTTTGATCAAGAATTACCAGAAATCCCTTTTGGATTTGTAGAAAGGCGTCAGCACCAAAAATTGATATTTACAAAGAAAGTGTTGTTTTCTGTGTGCATTCATGCTATCCTATCCAGAATTTCTGTAGTTCCCTAAAGTAYAAGCAATCATTCTTAATTTTCAAGAAGGATATCTCCAAACAGAGAGATTACCTTTAGGGACTTTAAGTTGTAGTCATTTCATAACATTAGACACCTCCCTGAAGTAATGACAGAAGAACAAGAGAGAGATAAAAAGAAAGATTCTAAACAAAGAGAATAAATAAAACTATAATTAAATAAATTTTAAAAAGTTCTGCATATTGGGTCCTATATCAAATATTTATGAATATACTTGCATACTTGCAAAATATCTAAGGCCAAATTACACTACCTACTTAAGAAAAAAAAAAAAAAAAGCAGAATTTAGCCCTCTATCTTTTCTTTTTGTTGCTCTACTCACATCACGTAAGAATTACAGCCCTGGACCAGAACAGTTCAGTGTGTTGTTTCTAGCACCAGCCACTATAAAAAGCAAAGAGAAAGCTGCAGTAAAAGCTGTCTTAAATATTTTAATACAGCCTATCCATAAGGGAAGTTTCTTCTCACGGTCTGTATTAGAGGTGGCTCGCACCCTGAACCATTAATATAAATGTCCATTTCCTGCAAGAAATTCCTCCACATATAAAATTCCTCCAGATGTAAGACTTCGGAAATCTCTACTATTATAATCCCGAATATCCTTGCTATCAATATGAAAGCCCAGTCTTTGCTGTTAAATTCTTAACTTCAGCGCTGTTTTGTAGAAGTGTTTTCCTATGACTGTGCATTAGGTGCAGTATGTCCTCCTAATATCTAAATTACCCCCTTCCTTTAATCTCAGTAGCAGCCTCTTTATCATCTTAGCATTTGATTGATCTCTTCTATGCCATTTTTCCTTCTGTGTGCCATAATTATGTTCCTTCTTAATCACCATTTCTGAGCAGTGCATGCCCCATGGCACTTTCTGCTCCATGGGGCTGTGATTGACCCCAGACGGTCCTAGTTTGGTTCCATCTGTGTGTGTGACCTCTCTTTGCAGCTAYCTAGCTCTGTACGCCTACAAGCCTCAGAAGAACGATGAGCTGGAGCTGCGCAAAGGTGAGATGTACCGGGTCATTGAGAAGTGTCAAGACGGCTGGTTCAAAGGCACCTCTCTGAGAAGCGGCATGTCCGGAGTCTTCCCAGGCAACTACGTGACTCCCGTTTCCAGGTGAGAACCAATGGCTACGGATATGCCAGTGGATATGCCTGAGCAGGGGGTGGGAGGAAATCTGTGTCTTCAGGATACTGAAAAATAAAAGGGGCAAATCTGTTTTTAAGTGCTTCCCCACCAGAAATTTTTCAATGACAGTGTCATCCATTGTAGACTTTGATGAATTCCTTTTGCTTGCAGCTTCAAACTTACTCATATTTTCAGAAGATCTTGTTARTTGTTTTTAATGTTGGCACTTACAAATGGTCCGATGGGCCCAGCCTTAATTGTTTTAAAGATTCTGTTGGTTAATCATTTCATTTTATGGAAACAGTGGTCATGAATGGGAATGAGCAAAGTAAGGAATATTTATGGCTTGCTTTGTGGTAGCCCTGATTTAGATTTTGTTTTCCTGAGATCAAAGCTCTTGGATTATTTGAATCAGGACTAATGTTTCAACAATTACAAGCAATTCAGCATATTATTTCATATTAGCTACCTTTGTCTCACTTGCAAAAGATAAGAAAAGAATAGCATGTTTGGGAAGGAAGGTATACCATTTGTTAGAGTTCAGTATTGGAGAATCTCAAATCCAGGAGTATTTGTAATCTGGAGTCTACTCTTTGAAATACTCTACTAGCTGAGGAAAAAGTGCACCGGAGTGTCCCAGATTGCTTTGTCCTAAGTGCTCCTTGAATGTTTCCAAGCACAAGTCCATCTATCCTTTAAAGTAGCTTTGGGTTTGCAGACTGGACTCATTCCTTCTACTCTACAGGCTCCTTCCACATGCACACAGTTCCCACTGTTTTTCACTGCTCTCCAAGGAAGTGTACCTCACAGCTCAGAAAGTGTTGAAATTGAAAAGTTGTTCCAGGTTCACTCCKTTTTCAGTTTGTATGAAGTTTGTAATATGTGAACTGGGCAAGATTAAAAATTAAGAGCAGATCAGATACTGATAATAACCTACTGAGAGACCTAATATTGCATCAATTCATAGAGTCTTAGCTGTTCATCAACCTGAATATATTTACCTGATTTTTATAGAACCCCTTGACTGCCTTCAGTCCTTGCCTCTTCAGGTCTTAATTAGTAAAGGGGTCTGTGTTAAAGTGGTGGTGATCTGAATCAGCAAGACCTTATTAAATGCAGCATGTCACAGCTAGAACAAGACACAGGGAAGTGCTAAAGGGCAAAAGTCCTCCCGACAAAACCCAAGAGCAGCTTTATGATTATGTTTATGATCCTGTGAACTAATTAAGTTGCTGCATAAATCACCCTCAGTGAGAACAGCAAGAAAAAAAATCAGATAGGAACAAAATATCTTATTTTCTGCTCTTCCAACTTACTTTGTTCCTCTTTATTTTGATACCAAAACATGGATTAGATTCATACATGTTTTCCTGCTGCTTTGTATAAAATGCAAGAAAAAGAAGCTGAACTAGCAAGAAAAGAACTGGACTAGATTTATAAGCCACCAGGGCACGTATGTGTGAACAGAACCTAATGAAAAAATATTTCCAATGCAGGACTCCTCAGAAGGAGAGACAGGCACAGGAGAGCAGCAAAAATTTGCCACATCCTGCATCTATCCAGCTCTATAGGAGTCCCAGATGAAGTTATTCTACCTGTCAGTGAGCRTGTTTGCCCAAACAGCTCTCAGTGGATTATAATTAGATGTGCTTTTCTGGCAAATCCAAGCTTCAAAAAGTTTGAAGAAAAAGAAATTCCATGCATTTAACAAAAACAAAATATAAACCAGACAAATGATGCATGATGAAAAGAGTAAAAGAATTAAAAATCTGATGACACTGCTGGGTTATCTTTCGTCTTTCTGGTTTTTTGTTTTTTTTTTTTTTTTCTCAATGGAGGACTATCTTCTGCACTTCTGGATCGTAATTTCTGGCCTGTCTTTTGGCTGCTGTCAGAATTTGTACCTGCACATGCACTGTTTTCCTCAGAGGTAGTTCTTGTCCTCTGAACCAGACCGCATTATTCAGCATACTCCTTTTCCTTTCTCTGCTCCCACACAAGTTTGGGCCCTCCCTTCCCACGACCCATATGCTGATTGTACATATGTGCACTGTGCTCTTTCTGTAATCACCTCCTCTCTTGTCCACCTCCTGCCTTATTCTCATTTCCTCCACATTTCATTCTGCATCATATCCTCTTCCTGCCTGCTTCTTGAAGGGGACATGAGCACATGGGACGGCCAAGAAGAGCAGAAGCAGTAGCCCCCATTTAGATTTTGTTTTTCCCTCTGTTTCATAGCATCTCCTGCTGTCAAGGGTAAAGCATTAGGGAATCTGAGTGAGGAAATGCTGCCGAACAGCAGCCAAGCCTATGCATTACTGCCTTGTTTCCCTGGTCAGAGAGTTTTTACTTAGTGGTAAGAGGAATGAGACCGGCTTGTCTGGAAAATGGCTCCATGCTGGACTTTTTGCATAGGAGAAACAGACTCCTTCCTTCCCTCTGTCACATAAATGAGAGAGAAACTCYGAGAGCAGTGAAAGATGGATTGTTTGCTGCTGGAAGTTCCTTTCCTGGAAGGTCAGCTGAGTTCCCTTCCCTTTTGCATTTCCTTAGCAAGTCTAACCTAGAACTGGTTAAAGAACTAGAGTAAGTACTCAGACAAGGCCTGATAAATTAATTTATTTTGAGGCTTCTGCAGTAAACATGCAGAGGTTTGGTGCTGCCCATCTTTTTTTTTTTTTTCCTACAGTGGGGTTGTATGAAGATTTAGTCTTAAGAAAGAGTCTTTGAGTCTAATTTGTTTGTCACTCCGTCCTTGCTTGTAAAATAGCCTTTGGCACACCAAATGGCATTTGGGAGACATTCCTCTGAATTCAGATTTGGATTTTACTAGAAATTATTCAGACAGAGGCGTAGCCAAAGAAAGTAAGTGGCTGAAGAGATGATCTTTCCATTTTCACCTTGACTTCGTCCGTTAAGATGAAGGGGTGCGGATGCCCTGGCACGTGCCTATAACCCTGTTCCTAACCCCTGGCTTATTTCAGCCCCCGAGCCAGGACCTGTGCTGAGGCCCTTGATGGCAGTGGCAGGTGCGTGTCGGGGTCTCCCCATGGCGCTCACGCTCTGCTCCACCCCACAGAGTGCCCGCGGGAGCCGGGCAGCCGCGCAACAACCCCGGCGGAGCGGCGAAAGGGGCGCCGGGCGCCATCCACRCCGGAGGGACGAGTCACGCGAGCGCTGCCGCGGCCGTCAGACCCACGGCCCCCGTGCCCGCGCCGCAGGCGCACCCGCAGCTCCCGGGAGCCTCCCCGCAGCTGGGCAACTGCTTGAGGTACTCGGCGCCCGCCGGCCAGCCGCGCAGCGCCGTGCAGATGGGTAGGTACCAGCGCCCGCGGGCGCCTCGCGGGGCCGGGGCACCCACAGCGCCTCCCTGCAGCGCCGGCCGCCGGGGTCCAACAGCCCCCGCGGCTCTCGCCGCTCTCCCGCTTGAGCCACCGCTCAGTCGCCGCGAGTAGAATATGCTTTATTTGCTTGTAATATTTATGGGCTCCTATTGATCTCCGGGAACCACGTTGTGTTTATCAGATTGTTCTGTTGCTACAGCTGAAATAGATTATGGTGTTTACAAATATTTATACAAGTTATCTGAGCGCAAGCAAGCACCCTGCATACTGAGGAGATTAACAGTGCTGAGTCCGTCTGGCTTGCCGACGGAGAAAAAACCCTGCTCTTATCACAGGGCAAGTAATATGCGACTTAAAATTAAGAAGCATTTCACTAGGCTTCGGGGATGAAAGGTATTTATTAGGTAGAAGCAGGACCCAGTGTTAGCGATAAAGCGAGAGATCTGAAAAATGCCGCCACCTTTTTGAAATGAGAATAAGAGCCTCGCGCACCAGGGGGCCTCTGTTCTGCTTTGGCTTCCTTTTGATGTAGGGCACAATTTTCTAGAGCACAATTTATGCCCTTTTCCCGGATGTTAAACAGCTCTCGCGTTGAATAAAGTAAAAGTAAATCCTGTGGTGGAACTTTACAGCAACATTTGAAACCGTTTGCTTCCAACACGTTATGGGAGCGCGAGCCATTGTGTTTGCAGAGAGAGATCACTGAGGACCACGGCTCCCGAAAACTGAGGTCCTAGGAACAAAGCAGAGCAGATGAAAAGGAGAAAGTCACCACCGTGCAAAGTCATTGATTCCTGCCTTTAGAAGTCAGAAGGGACCGTTATGACCATTTAATCTCTCCTCCTTCCCAGTCCAAGTCAAAGGAAAAAAATGTAGTCAAATACACATGAATCTGAACCTTGGCCAGTGCCTTGACCTGGCATCCATATGAGGCTGCAGAAAAGACTGGTTATGCTCTTTTTGCCTGGTTGAGCGGGCTCCTCTTCCCCTCAGGCTTACATGCATGCAAAAGCCCTGCTGCTCACCACTGCAAGGGCAGAAACGTCCACTCTCAGGACAAGGCGCACGAGGCGTAGCGGAGTGCCRAGGGCAGAGGGATGCTGGTCTGCCCCGTGCTTGATGACGGGCACCAGAGCCTCGGAAGTGCCCGTGCACCCCCACCTCGCAGCCCAGTCCCCCCTTGGCTTGCAGGACGTGTTTAGGCAGCTCCTGATGCCTCATATCCCCTCGCCACCGGAAGAACACGCTTCCCCGTGGCAGAGAGGAAGGATTGTTTTTCCCCCGTGCACTCAGATTACCACACACCTTCCCTCCATGGCGCTGGTGCATTATGGCTCCAGCTGCTTCCTAGATTTAAGACTGGTCCTCCAGGGCACTCTGGTGTTTTAATCTGCCAAGGAGTCAGCAGGCTGCGTAAACCACCGACCACAGAGCTGCTCTGAAATCTCGAAAGTGGGAGAGCTCCCAAGCTGTTCCAGAGGTGTTCATGAGATTTTTTTTTTAATTGAAGGGTTAAATAAAGGAAACCTTTAAAGATTACCAGTATTCCTCTGCATAATGGATGTCCTAACTGGTATCCTGCGAGTAGCAGCTCTTCAAAATAGGTCTTTTCTAGTCCTGTGGGCAATGCAGACCCACTTCTTGAAAAGCTTTACAAGAGAAGTAAGCTGACACAATATTCAAATCACGTTTCTGTTGGCTTGCAATATACATGAGTAACAAATCAATTTTGCACAAGGCCACTAATGTAGGAGTACACCCAAAATGAAATACGAGTGGTGTAGAACAAAAATAGCCTTCAGTGAGCATTGCTAATTAATAGCATGTTTGATGCAGCACAGTCCAGATCCAGAGATACCACAGCAAAGGCATACATTGCAAAACTAAGCAGCTGAAATTACAGAATAAAATTGGAGAGCCCTGCTCATAGTTGATTTTTTTTTTTTCTATTTATTCTGCTGTTTCTCATGCTTTCAGTTTCCTTCATGTAATGTACTTCCCTGATATGATTACCAAATCAGTCAGGTACACACAGTGAAATTCCGTTGTAGTGATTTTATTCTAGATTTGGGAAAGTCATTCCTCCCGACAACTAGCTACAACCAGCAATTTAAAAACTTGACCCTATAAGTTTAACTAGCCCAGAAGATTAGATTTCAGGCAGCAGGGGTGGTTCATTAAACAGGTTCAAAACAGGAAAAATCAGAAGGAGATAACCAGTGGTGTCCTATCTACCTCTGTGGAAATGAATTACACTTTCCAATGTATGTTCTTGGTGATCCAGGGAGGGAAAAATGGTAAATATTAATAATGACAGTGTTGAAGGGTGCATAGTAACAACTTTTAAGCTCATCAACATCCTACAGCCTAAAATCACTGCAGGTTCAAGACTAGTTTCTGGACATGAAAGCTGGTTTGATTTGCTATGAGGAACTTTAATAAAAACAGAAGTTTTAGAATCAGGGAGTAACTGAAGACAATCATGTAAACGATGGAGATGCTTATCTGACCATCACTGACCCATCTGGCTGAGTATCTCTTGCCATAATATGTCCCAAGGCCAGGCAATGAAATTCCCTCCAGACCTCAAAAGTGCTCAGCTGCTATATTGAATATAGTAAATAGCACTCCTTATCTTTTTCATCTCCATTAATGGCTGCTGCTGCTAGCTGCAGAAATAGAAAATTATGGTTTGAGTTCTAGCATTTTTGTTTAGTTACATCTTGAGCAATTACTTTTTGTGCTGCTTAAAAAGAAAACAGCAGATCAAGCAGGTTGAGAGGTTTTTTTTTCTTTGATGAAATGCTGCTTGCCCTAAAGAGAGCCGATTTTTTAAAGTCAAAACTTTCTGGTCAGGAATGGATGTAGTTCAACCAGACTTCATCTAGGAAGCTGTTGTGGCTCAAGTTGCAATGAGAAGGAGAAGGAAAGTCAAAGAGAAAACACAGCTACACAGAGCTGTTCTCTGTGGAGAACAGACAGATCCAGTGTTTTCCCTTTCCCAGGTGAATGCCCCAATCACCAGAATAGGGGTATTGTGGAATGGGTAAGTAGGCTGCGCTCAGAAAAAAATCTTCAAAGGCTCCAATTTTGCGCTGATGCAGAACTAAACCAGATTACAAAACCTTGAAATCATTTGTGAAATGGGATTTTTCCAGCCAGCTCTTCTATTGAATTGTGTAAGCGAGTGAATGTAGACTCAGCTTCTTGGTCTATACATACTAACTTGGAGGTCAAAGAAAACAACATTGTAGAAACAGACCTGGAGCTTTGTCACAAGTTTTGACAAAAGGCACACCAGAGGCTCCTGAATCCCTGGAGAACAGACCTCAACAGTCCATTTTGGTTACCATTAAACAGATGAGTGCTGATTCCTAGTTCCTAGTGGTTAAGAGCAGGGTTTCCTCCACTGGGGAAGGAAGGCTAAATTCGCAGCATAGGCTTTAGGGACCTTACCGGCAGAGACAAGGCCGATCTCATAAATACCCCAGTGAATTTATGCTTGATTTATCTTGCACAGCACAGTGATTTGCTGTTGATCATTTTTGTTAAGACAAAAACAAGGCAGCTTTCTTTGTAATTGAGTTCTGCAAGGTCGCTTTGGATCACAAAAGCTAGTCCTTTGGGTTCACTGTTGCCTTGCTCCAAAACATAAGCAGGAAGTCAACAGCAATGTCATGAGGGGGTCTCAGAGGTCCTGAAAACACATCTCAGTTGGAATAACATCTCAGTTGGAATAAAAAGTAAGAAAGCGCTTTAAAGCATAATACGCTTTTTATCTGTTTCCAGGCATGGCTAGCAAGGCGCCTCCACAGCTGCAAAGCGGGGGAGGACAGGCCATTTCGGCYGTCTGCTTTTGTAACCCGAAGCGGGATTTCTAGGATTTAGTCAAAAATGGTTGCAGGCTGGGATATTGCTGGTTAGGAYGAGCCATAGCTCTCTTTGGGCTCCAGCAGGCATGTGGCAGAGATTAGAAACGCACAGCCCTCTCCTTGCCCACCGCGTGCCCCTGGCCAGCTACGGACCTCTGCAAAGCGCATTGAACCCATTGAATTTTGAGCTAGCTGTGGCAGGATTTTTTGTCACAGACCTTCAATCCCGACACAAAGCAGCACCAGGGTTTAACACGCGCTCTCTCATGCTTCATGTCCCCGCACAGCTCACCCCGCGGCGCAGGGCCCCGAGCGGCCCACAGCCACCGTCTCCCCGCTGCGCACGCCGAGCTCGCCCTCGCGCCTGCCGGCCGCCACCGTGCGCCCTCACCCCGCCGTCTCGCCCCAGCACAGCCTGCAGCCGCCGGCGCCGGGGCTGCCGGGCGCCCGGCCCCTCATCCCGCTGACCTCGGCCGCCGCCGCCATCACCCCGCCCAACGTGAGCGCCGCGCACCTCAACGGCGACACTGGCAGCGGGCCCCTCGGCGGCATGGCGGCCCCCGGCCCCGCTGCYAAGGCGGAGGAGAGGAAGAATGAAAAGGTAAGAGAAACAAGCCCGAGGAACCCTATTTTATTCCCTCCCTCCTTCGCTTCCCACTTCCGTGCTGCAGATCCCATCCTTTTGGGCGGACATGGGAAGAGGCGTGATAGTTAGGGTAGGGTCCCTGCCCTAGGGATAGGTAGGGATAGGTAGGGTCCAGGTCAACCCACCAAGCTGGAGGTCTGGCAAGTTTACAGAGCTGGCACCTTGTCTGCACCGCAGAGCCATGGACTGCCCTTATCTCCCACTTGCCGTCGCGGAGGACGGTAAAAAAGGCAAGGATGCTCTACCGAATGCAACACCCCCGTGTTTTGAAAAAATTGAGCAAGTCAACAAGAGTTGCTGATGCCTGCCAGGCCCTCTATGAAGGGCAAAAGCTGCTTTTCATCATATACCAGCTGGGCATCCATATCTAAGACTATTTTCACACTTTTTTTTTCTTTTTTTCTCTCCCCGGCATCTGTTCATTGGTTCTACTTTAGCAATATCCCCTTGCAGATGAGGAGTGAGGGGAGCTGCTGATCTGCCGAATTGCTGCGCTCTGGCGCACCCAGTGATGGGTGTCTGGATCGCGCAAGTTCACGATAGCCTGGAAAGACAACAGAGTGGGGACCRAGGCTTCAAAGGCAGATGGTCAAGTCATGGAATTGCATGGAAGAACCTATATGGGGTATAAGCCTCAGGGCTGCTGATGGAGGCATTATAAAACACGGACATGTCAACAGTCAGAGCTGTTTAACTGCTCTATAAACATCTCAGTTTCTATCAGAAAATTTCATCGCCCTGATGAAATAGGGAGACGGGGATTAAATATGACACYTTGCAGCGGATGATTGATACGTTGCTGGTTCAGGCTTTCAGGAGTCAGCACTGGGAGCAGTGCCTCAGTGCTTGTCCCTTACACACCTTGCTAAGGAAAGACAGCGTGGAGGGCTGTTCTAAGCACTCAACCTAAAATGCTGTTCCATAGTAATAATTTTACTTTTACCAGAAGTTTACACATTGCTAACAGTTTTTATGTATCAGTGCTGAGAGCTGTCTCTTTATGCCATAGCTGACCCTTCTGATTAAATATGTATTGGAAGCAAATACCTASTTTGCATCTGAATATTAAGACGAGATGTAGGGGCTTGGTTTTCCTTTGGACTTGCAGAAATTCCTTTCCGTAACTTCTCCAAGCTTTTCCATGGTGACAGACACATATGGGGTAAACATTTACTCTGTACACAATGATACTAAGGTTGGAGATCTCTCGAGTATGCAGAGGATAACTGGTACATACCACATGTGGTCAGGGTTAGTGATAACTCCTCATTTCACAAAATGAGGAATGTGAGTTTTAAAATCTCTTCCTTAATCCTGTCTTGAAATTTCTCCAAGTGTCTTTCACTAAGCAGGAGAAGAGTATAGAACCTCTGCTCTGGATCTAAAAATTAAGTACTTGTTTTCAAAGAATAAATTCCAAGTGTACATCAAGCGCTTCACGGTATGTGACCAGCACAGTACCTTCTACTTCTGCAAGCCAGAGAAAGTGTACGGTATTTGGCAGACACTGATAGATTTGTGTGTTACTTCAGAAACATCTTCTTTCAGGCTTTGTATGTTTAATACTTGCTAAAACTCAGCAGGCCGTTCTATACATCCATATATTTTAATCCACATGGGATTAGACACACAGATTTCCTAGGTAAAATGCTAGTTCCTTCTTAAAATAATGATTAAGCTTGCCCAACCTGTTATAGCTTTAAGTTACTGAATTTGGATGCAGGGGAGTGAAAGTCATCTTTTTTTGAGCTCCACGGATAATGAGGAGAAGCAAATACTGTATTATAGCAACACAAAGACTAGTACAATACCTTGGAATTAGGAGAAAGAAGTGACAATTGAAATAGTCATATCTACCTCGATGGACTGGTGCATAACTGTCCTCTGTGTTGAACAGTAGATTCCTGAACCTACTAAAATATGATCCATGTCATATTTCACTTTCATTTTAGAAAGATATGAGTTAATGATGCTTCCTTTCCAATTAAAAGTGGAAAACGTACATAATCCAAATCAAAGCCAAATATGTGTTTGAAGCTACTTGAGATCTTGGATAGTGCCAGGCTGAAAGACATATAGCTATTCAAAAAACAATCCGAGGTTCAGAACTTGAGCCGTATCTGGAACCATACTTGATATTTCCAAAGTGGAGACTAATTGGTCTTCATTGGTAAAAGGAGAACTGTTATTCAGAAGGAAAGTCTGTGGAGAGAGGCAGTATCTCCTATAGGTAGAGCTGTTAGGAAAAAAACCCTGATAGGTCAGAGGGCCAAAAAAGAATAAGCAGGGACAGAGCTAGCAAGCTGCCAGGTAGGCAAAGATTGGAAACCATTTATCTGAATTCAATTTCATTATATTAATCAGTCAGGTACTTTGAGATGAAAGGAACAGAGGAGATGKTAATAAAAGGAGTGGTAATAAGGTCTTCAGTTCTACTGAACATAGACTGGAAGAAATACACAGGTAATTATCTCCTGAAAAAAATGAGATTAGCAAGTATTATTTGAGGTAATTTGTAATGTGCCATAAAAMTAGCATCTTTGTTGGAATCAACAATTTTTGTTATCCAGCCAAATTACGGATTTTAATCCCCAGCCTTGTCTTTGGAGGTATTTTGTAGAATTTCCTTGAGAATTAGGGCTGAGTGGTCAGTGGGAGAATGGGTGCTTTCTGAATCATTCTCTTGTTAAATAACCTCATTTTTATGCATCCTGATCATGAGCATGAGTTCACTGTGATACTGAGGATGCATGGGATATAGCAAGTAGTCTRTAGTCCTCAATGAACATGCTGAGGATCCATTGATTTTCATGGTTCTTTTATAAATGTTTCTCATGAGGGTTTTGGACATAAATTGCAACTTTTGCACGCATTACTCTGTCAAACTTTATGCAGTTTTGTTCAAATTAAGAAGTTCAGATGAAGTCAAGCAAGGTTGGCTGGCTTCTAGCAGACCAGGCTGGGAGATAGTGGGAAAAAATATTGTAAAATATGATCCTCTACTAATTTGTGTTTTATGATTTCCTATCTAGATTCCGCTCAGGGATACTGAATGTGACACCAAGGGGCAGCTGTTGTAGTGAGACTGTCTGTGTTATATGGGTAGTTTATTCCAGGATGGGATCACTTTTTCCTTGGGAACAGCTCTACTGAGTGTTTTGATGAGGTAGTCATTGCTAATGCTTTCCTCTCTGTAAATGTCTTAGATTCCAATTATATATCAGAAGGTTTTTTTTTTTTTCGGTGTGCAACAGCCAGGTACAGGCACATTCAAGATTTCTCTAAAATGAAGGGACTCTRATTCCATTTCTTTCTTGTGTTTCATTGTGGCTTCAATACAGGTGTCAGAAATAATCTCAAGAGTTGTGGCTTTCAGCTCAGTGGGAATAGCTTTCCTGCTCATCTTCTATTAGAATAGCAAATAAATCCTCAGGTCTGGTTTTTTTTTTGTTTGTTTGTTTTTGTTTTTTTTTTTTTTTTTTTGTTTGTTTGGTTGGTTTGTTTTGTTCATCTTTAGTTCTCTTCTTTAACTTATTTGTCAAGATATTGATCAGATCTCCCAAACTGGCGGGTAAACCTTGGCACTTAGATTCATATTTTCATTCACCCTAATAAAAGGCTCTGACTGTCAAATTCCCACTGATTTATTCTGGAGACATCATGAGGCAAAATTGTGGCTTGGCACCAGTTTTCACTCGTCATGCACCTATCCCAGGACGATCCTGTCTGCAACTGGGCTTTTGCTCAGCTTCTCAGTGTCCTGACTAGTCTCCTGCTCAGCTGGGAATAGTTTCAAAGCTGTTCTTCATTGCCAGCTGCTAGTGGTAGTTGATGAGAGACCGAGTGATGGATAGTGCTCAAGTCCACTGTGCRGCAGTGCTTGAAAAGTGCTTGGGCAGCCAAGCAGGCTTAGAAGTAGAGTGCTTGAAAATCAAAGCTCTTGCAGYGCTGCACTAACTCAGTCCAGAGCAGCAGGAAACGCAGCTCACACAGAGGTAGAGCTGGCACCTCAGTAGTAACAAGCTGGAGAGAGAATAAAAACAAGAAAGCATGGCAAAAGTCAAAGGAGTAACATGGTAAGGGCAGCCTAGGAGAGATGTGGGCATTAGTGGCTGCCAGGAGGTATAGCAGGAGGCAGCAGGGAAAGAGTGTCAGTGGGGAGAGTTGAGATGAAGGGTGCTATAAAACTCACAGAAAGAGAATGTGAGAAGGGAAAGTTGGAATGAAGGTGCTAACACTTATCTAAAGAAAGTAAGGGACAAGGAGTAAAGTTTTAAGTACTTCCTGTTTTAAGCCATTTTTTMTTCTTTTCTAAGAAGAAAGTTTCCTTTCTACAAAGGAAAATGATACTGCCCCCATAAGTCACTCCCCAAGGTCATATTCAGGAGTGTCCCTAAAGCATCACAGGGACAGGAGGGAGCTCAAAGAGAAAGCAAATAGGGAATGCTGCTTCCTTTAAGGATAGGGATGCTTTCAGGGGTTCTCTGGGCTACAGATTCATCATTTATCTCCATGTGTAATCATCTGAAACTCAGAGAATACAATCCCTGTTCCTGAATCTTCCAAACGTCTGAAAGAACGGATCCTAGCAGCAGAATGGAAGCAAAACCCTGCGGTTATTGGGGCTATTTAAAATGAGGACCTTACTTCTCAGTCATGATGAGCACTGCTCAGGTTCAACTAGTAGCTTACAGCTGAGAACGTGTAATTATGGCGTGACTACTATTTTGACCTCAGTCCATTTCTTCTATAATAGTTTCTGCTGTACATAATCTGGGCTGGTGCTTAATACCTCTGATAAAACCACTTGTTGGAATGAATTAATGCATTTCTCATTAAATGTGCTCTTCATTACATTAATCAAATCAAGCAAATCACACTGGGTGGTTTGACCACTGTAATTAAACTTTCTTTAAAATCCATTCATTTGGCTTTTGATGAGAATTTTGATTAAA